CCTTTATTACTTATTTTAATTAATTTTTTATGTGATGCTGAGGATCTAACCCAGGGCCTCACATGCGAGGCAAGTGCTCACAACCCCAGCCCCCAGCACTCTCACTTTCTAACATTATCTGTGTGCATATAACTCACAGACTCCCAGGCCAAGAAGCTGGCTCCATACCAGGCTTAAGGTTCCCTACCTAACCAATTCCCCTGGGACTCTAGAGCCAAGGTGACTGTAAGCACAATGAGGGAGGCAGGAAGCAGACCTTGGATCAGCAAGCTCTTCTTTATTCAGCTGAGGAGTCAATGGGCCAAATAACTGATGTGGCTCATTTCTGGGGGGGGAAATGGTGGTGGGCCAAAGCAAGGGTTTCATAGGCTTCATTTATAGGGTGGGACAGGAGGGTAGTTCCTGGGGTTCATTGTATTGGAGTCAGCTGATCCATTAGTGTGGGCGGGGAGTGTGGATAGGGGATTTCCTGGGGCTTATTGTATTGGAGTCAGCTGGCCCCTTAGGGTGAGGGGTCAGGTGCCTGTCAGGTGTGAGTTCCTTTTGTGTTCCTTCCCTCTGGCTGAGGCCTGGGCTTTTAAATGACAAAAACTTCAATTTTATCCCAAACAAGGCGGGTGGAGAACTGACACAGATAGGGGAAATGTCCTTGGACTTATTCTGCATATCCTTCAGTGACCACCCCACCATATTCCAGAACCCCAGCTTCCTTCTGCATTGGGTATGACCCACCAAGTCCTGCTTTGTCTGCCTCCTAAATACATCTTTTTGTATTTCTTTTTGATACCAGGGATTGAACCTGCGGCTGCTTGACCACTAAGCCACATCCACAGCCCCTTTTTTATTTTGAGGCAGGGTCTCACTAAATTGCTGTTGCTGGCTTTGGACTTGTGATCCTTCTGCCTCAACCTCCTGAGCCACTGGGATTACAGGCATCTGTTACCATGCCTGGCTTTTTTTTTTTTTTTTATGTTTAATTAGTGCATTATAGGTATACATCATATTGGTTTCATTTTTTTTTAATATTTATTTTTTAGTTTTTGGCGGACACAACATCTTTGTATGTGGTGCTGAGGATCGACCCCTGGCTGCATGCATGCCAGGCGAGCACGATACCACTTGAGCCACATCCCCAGCCCTGTTGGTTTCATTTTGACATAATCATACATGCATGGATTATAGTTTGCTCCACTTCAGTTCCCAGTACTTTCTCTTTCTCTCCCCTCCTGCCTCCCCCTATTCCTCTTCCTCTACTGATCTTCCTTCTATTATAGGTTGTTGGTTTTTTTTTTTTGGAGGGGGGTACCAGGGACTGAACCCAGGGGCAGTTAACCACTGAGTTGCTTAGCATCTCGCTTTTGCTGAGGCTGGCTTTGAATCCACGATCCTCCAGTCTCAGCCTCCGAGTGCTGAGATTATAGATGTGCAACACTGCGCCTAGCTAATTTTATATTTTTCAAAATTAGTGCCTAAGTACACCTTGAATTATCCTCTGCTCTCCATCTTCATCCCCCAACTTTTTCCATGTGCCTCCCTCACTCACACAGCCATCACTCACATGCAAGACCTCCTAACTGCTTGCAGCATCAGGTCTGTTCTGTCCCAACCCATAAAAGGGTGAACTTCAAGAACACACCTCAGTCCAGGGTGGCTCCTGGTAGAGTGCTTGCCTACCTGGGTCTCCTCACCAGCACCACTGAAAAAACACACAGCTCTGACCCCGTCATTCCTCCCTGCACACTCTCAGTGATTTCCCATCATTCCCAGGAGAAGAGCTCCATTGTGGGGCTTTCACAGCTCTGCAGATTGATGTCTGCTGCCACCTGTGTGCCCTCAGGTCACCCTGTATCCCCTCCAGGTCTAAGCTGTCCCTCTCTCCATGATGTACCCCCACAGGGCAGTGCACAGGCTGTTCCTCATTTAATTAATTTCTAGTGTACCTTCTGCTCACATGTTCCCTTAGGGACACTTTCTCCTTCTTACCAGGTCAGAACACTTTTAAAAGGGATTCTCAGCATGCTGTGTACCCTGTCCTCAGATGGCTCATCAGGTCATCTGTTCCTTGAACCCTCCAGCCTGGATCCCTGCACATACTTTTCTGTTTAGCCACCTCCTCCAGGAATAGTGTATTTCTAATACACGACCACATTCTGTAGCTTCAGCTTCCTAAATATTTGGTGTGTCCCAAGGCACCATTCATTGCTGGGGATTGAACTCAGGCTTCTCCCTCCCTAGGCAAGTACTAGCTCTACAGGACTCCCAGTCCTGTTAGTGTCTGTGTCTGTTCCCCTCCCATCCCCAGTGATTTTACTGTACAGGAATCTCACCATTCTCCTCCTCCATTTGAAACCTTTCAGTGTCCCTCCATTAAGCTGGGACACAAGGGACAGACTCTATCCTGGTAGCCTGCATTCAAGTCCTGGCTCAGCCATTGCGTGTCTACCTGTGTGACTTGGGGCAAGGCACTTACCCCCTCTGTACCTCCAGTTCAGGATCTATAAAAGCATGGGAATGTCTTCCTTACAGAGTGTTTATGAGTCTTAATGAACTACTTCTGTTTTGGCAAGTGGCCCAGACCAGGGCCTGGCACACAGTAACTGCTAGTAACTGTTGTATATGTTTGCTAAAGTAAACAAACCCTGCTGGAACCTGCCCTCACCTACCCCCAGGGTGGCCAGGTAGAGTAGCAGCTCTCAGCTGCTACTGAAATAGGTGGCTTTAGTCCATTGTACAGATGACAACATCAAGGCTCAGGGGAGGTAAGTCCTCAACTCTGGGGTCACCCTGAACAGGACAGACATCCAGTTCTGATTCACACAATTTTTTTTTAAAGAGAGAGAGAGAGAGAGAGAGAGAGAGAGAGAGAGAGAGAGAGAGAGAGAGAGAGAATTTTTTAATATTTATTTTTTAGTTTTCGGTGGACACAACATCTTTATTTTATTTTTATGTGGTGCTGAGGATTGAACCCAGTGCCCCGTGCATGCCAGGCGAGCACGCTACCGCTTGAGCCACATCCCCAGCCCTCACACAAATTTTTTAAAAATATATATTTTAATTGTAGATGAACACAATATATTTATCTTTATGTGGTGCTGAGGATTGAACCCAGGGCTTCACACATGCTAGGTGAGTGCTCTACCACTGAGCCACAACCCCAGCCCCCTCACACAAAATTTTTTTTAATATTTATTTTATTTCTTAGTTTTAGGTGGAAACAATATCTTTATTTTACATGTATGTGGTGCTGAGGAGGATCGAACCCAGTGCCTCATACATGCTAGTTGAGCAAGCTACCACTGAGCTACCACTGAGCCACAACCCCAGCCCCCCCCCCCACAAATTTTTATGCATTGTATTTTCATCATCATTCAGTTCAAAATACTGATTTCCCTTTTGATTTCTACTTTGACTCAGAGTTATTTATAAATGTGTTATGTAGTTTACAAATATTTGGAGGTTTTTCAGGTGTCTTTTTAAATTTTTTTTTTTTTTTGGTACTGGGGATTGAACCCAGGGGCACTCAACCTCTGAACCACATCCCCAGCTCTATTTTGTATTTTAGAGACAGTGAAGTTCAGGAAACCAGTGATCTGCGGCCACCTTAGACTAGTATGCATTTTCTAGAATTTTATATATGCGATCATCATCTTTCTCTCTGAATAATTATGCTGCATATAGGACATTTATCAAGATAGACTATATTCTGGGCCATAAAACAAGTCTGAATAGGGGCTCAGTGTAGAGCACTTGCCTAGCACATGTGAGGCACTGGGTTCGATTCTCAGCACCACATAAAAATACATAAATAAAGGCCTATACAAAAATATAATGCCTATTCATTATAACTAAAAATATTTTTTAAAGGCTGAATAAATTTAAAAGGACTCAATCATACAAAATATATTCTCTGACCACAATGAAATTTAATATTCGTAGTCAATAACAAAAGACACCTGGAGGGCTGGGGCTATAGCTCAGTGGCAGAGCACTTGCCTAGCATGCATGAGGCATTGGGTTGGATCCAAAGCACCACATAAAAATAAAAACAAATAAAGGTATTATATCCATCTACAACTAAAAAAAATAATAATATAAACAAATAAAATGAAGGCATTCTGTCCACCTAAAACTACAAAAAACAAGCAAACAAACAAACAAAAAAAAAACACCTGGAAGCTGGGCATGGTGGAGCACGCCTATAATCCCAGCAGCTCAGGAAGCTGAGGCAGGAGGATCATGAGTTCAAAGCCAGCCTTAGCAAAAAGCAAGGTGCTAAGCAACTCAGTAAGACCCTGTCTCCAAATAAAATATAAAAAAGGGCTGAGGATGTGGCTCAGTGGTCAAGTGCCCCTGAGTTCAAACCCTGGTACTAAAAAAAAAAAAAAAAAAACTATGCTTTAAACATACTCAGTTTATTGCTTGTCAACTGTACCTCACAAAACAGTTTTCTAAAAATTGATGTTACCAGGTGTGGTGGCACACACCTGTAATTCTAATGGCTTGGGAGGCTGAGGCAGGAGGATCACAAGTTCAAAGCCAGCCTCAGCAATTTAGGGAGACCCTAAGCATGTAGTAAGACTCTAAAATAAATAAAAAGGACTGGAGATGTGGTTAATGACCTCTGGTACCAAAGTGTCTCTCAATTCCTGGTACAATAAAAATTAAAAATTGATGCTTAGGAGCCCATTGTGATGGTACATCCCTGTAATCCCAGGGACTTTGGAGGCTAAGGTAGGAGGATCATAAGTTCAAAGCCAGCTTCAGCAATTTAGGGAGGCCCTAAGCAACTTAAGACCCTGTCTCAAAATAAAATGGACTGAGCTGGGGTTGTGGCTCAGTGGTAGAGCACTTGCCTAGCATGTGTGAGGCACTGGGTTTGGTTCTCAGCACTGTATATAAACAAAATAAAGGTTCATTTGATACCACTGGTTATTGGTGAGGGTGAGGAGTCCTGCTTCCCCACATGTTGAAGTTTGAACATTAAAGAAGCACACCTAGGAAAGCATATGAAGCAGGGTTTATTTAAAAAGGGGTAACATAGACTTCTCCTGCAAGGGAGAAGGGGCCATAGCTGGTATCCCAAGAAACGAGGTGTTCTGCCCTTTTTATATATCCTAGGATTCCTTTGTTCTCCTGCCTTTTTCCCTTTTATCTTTCTCCTTCTTGTGGAGGTGGTGACTAGGCCCAGGAGTGCTGGGTGGGATGGCCAAAAGGTGGGAACCAGGTGGGCTGAAGGGGGAAGGGCAGGTGGAGTAGACAAGGACACTTTAACAACCCTAGAGTTCCCTGGAGGGAGGGGCAATTCCTGGGACAGGTTACCCTGGCAACAGGTTGGAGCAGGGGCAGGTTCTACATAAGATCCCTCAGGGGACAGTGTCCAACTTCTCAGAGTAACTTAAAATTGTCCTCCTAGTTCTTTTGACTCAATTTATCTATCTACACTGACTATCTATCTTTAAATCTGGCTTCACATTGACAACTAAAAAGTATTTTAAGTAAGTAAATAAATAAATAAAATTTAAAAATAAAAAGTGTTGGGTAGAGGGATTCCTTCAGTACTTGCTACCTCAGAAAAGAGGCAATGTTTTGAGGAAAGACGGTTGTTTAGGTTTTTGATCTAGTGAGTGGAGAGGAGAAGTCAGGTTGTTCAGGTGGGGGAGACAGTGGAGGGGCTGGGGCAGAAGGTTGAGGGTGAGGACCTATTTGAGCCGGGCGATAGGGTGGAAATTCATCAGGAGGGTCAAAAGTAGTGGATGAGTCCGGAGGAAGAGGAGATTGGGGATCAGTGGTTGTGGGTGTTGGTTTGCAAGCTAGAAGAATTTGCAGAGGTGCAGAGAGCACAAGCAAGAAGAAAGCTTTGATATAGCAGCTTTTTACCCATTTTTTCGAATGCTCACAGTAATTGTAGAGATCCCTTAGAATGGAGGGATCCAGGGACCCAAAAGGGGGGCCATCTGCTTTGGTTGTCTAAGGGATAAGTGGGCCAGGCCTGGGTGCTATATTTGATCAATTTTGGGGGTTTGATGTCTGGTGTCAAGGAGAGGGTTTTGAGGTTATCCAAGAGGCATTGTAGGGGAGAGTCGACCGGCAGAGAGGACACATTACCCGTGTCGCAAAGTAGTATAAGGAGGAGGGAAGGGGATGCAAACTTGGTATAGAGGAGAAGGAAGGAGACGCAACCGTAGTATAAGAGAGAAGGAGGAAACTGATTTATTGGCAAAAGGGGCGTCCCCGCTAGAGCCAAAAATCAGGAGTGTCTTAGTGGCAGGTTCGAGCTGCAGAGATTGGTCATCACCGAATCCTGACAGTCGAAGCTCTCGTCCTGGATGGAGCTGGAGCCGTGGGAGACCTTGCCCAAGGCTTTTCTTTTTGGGACCCCTCCTGGAGAGGCCAGAGACTTGCAGGGCCGGAAAGAGGGGAAAGAGAGAGACAGGGGAAGAGAGAGGAAGGGGAGGGTAAGGTACTCTCTAGCAGCCGAGTCTTGAAGGTGTGAGGACTAGGATTTTAGGAGAGCCACAGAGATGGTGAAGGTCTGGGTGGACTGTGATGTTCAGTTCTCTGTTATGTGTCCCTGGAGGTTACACAGTCCTTCGAGGGAGACCTACAAAGCCTATGCTGGTAACTAACAGCTGGGAAGGGAAGGGAATAATTTTGAACCCAGGAGTCTATTCTGCCCTAGGAAGGAGTCCCTGAGGGCCACCGTAGCCTTAAAGGCTGTGGTGGGGTGTTTTCCTCCCCGCAGGTGGGCAAAGAGGTTTGCCAGACAATCAAGGCCAAATCCTCCTGACACCACCATTGGGTTTAGGACTCCAGGAAGGGGAAACTCACCAATTGAAGGTCGGTGGTGGATGGAGTTCTAGCAGTCGAGAAAATGGGTTCAGGCCTGGGTTCAGGTCATCCGGTCAGTGGCACTTCCGAAGGAAGAGGGACCCAAAAGTGGGTTTTAACCCTCTCCCAGGTTTCGGCACCAATGAAAGGAAAGTGACCACAACACTCGGAGCAACCAAAAGATCTTTATTGCAGCAGTGCAACAAAGAGAAAGGAAAGAAGGAAAGAGAGAGAAAAGAGAAGAGATGAACAGGGAGAGAGCAAGAGCAAGAGAGAGAGAGCGCGCGTAAGAAAGATAAAGAGCAAGAGAGAAAGAGCAAGAGAGAGAGGGAGAGAGAGGAGGGCCTGGTAGGAGGGAGTTTTTATAGCCCAAATCTAATGGGGCCTCTGGGTCTGCAGGGGGGGTTAAGTGTTCAGCCTTAAGCAGGGTTGAATGTTCAGACTTGAGGAAAACAGGTGATAAAGGACCAGATAGAGGGGGGTTTGAGTGCGTGGGCTATCTTGCAGCCAACATCTGTTCAGCCTGCCCAGCAGACAACAGAATTCAGCCTGCTCTGCACCCAACAAAAAGGACTGGGAGGGCTGGGGATATAGCTCAGTTGTAGAGTGTCTGCCTTTCATGCACAAGGCCCTGGGTTCAATCCCCAGCACCACAGATAAACAAATAAATAGGACTGGGGATGTGGCTCAGTGGTAAAGTGCCCCTGGGTTCAATCTCCAGTACTGAAAACGAGGGGGAAAAAAAATTCAGGGGACTGGGGATATAGCTCAGTTGGTAGAGTGCTTGCTTCACATGCACAAGGCCATGGGTTCAATCCCCAGCACCACATACACACACACGAAAAAAAAAAAAAAAAGAAAAAAATTCAGGTTGAGACCTGGGAATGTAGATCACCGGTAGAGATTTGCCTAGCATGCACTAGTCCTTGAGTTCCACCTCTGGCACTGTAAGAAAAAAAAAAAGTTGATGTTTATCAAAAGCTTTGGAGAAATGTTTAGAATCAAGTTGTAATTACCACATATAGGAAGAGCAGTGATTCATGGCTTATACTTCAGAAAGAAGTGTGCCTCCCATGTGCAAGGCCCTGATTTCAAAAGGAACCATGGGGGTGTGGGGGAAACAAGGTCTGGAGTCAACTTGTGACTATGCAGCTTTGAACAAACTGCTCAGCCTGTCTGTGCTGATGGCAGGCATGTGGAGAGAGGTCATAAGCTCATCCCAGGGAAGCCCTCAGTACCTGGCATGCAGGGGGTACTCAGAGGTTAGAGGCACTGAGGTTCTCCTAACAGAATGGGAGAAGGTGACCTATACCTGAAGTAAACTGCTGGCAACCACTAAACTGTTCCAGAATACTGCCATTTACCCTTGACCCTTCCAAACCTTCTGAGTCATCCTTGGCTCACCCCTCACCCTCACCCCCCATAGTCTGATGGCTGCCAAGACAAGTAGAATTTTCCTTGGAAATGCTCTTTCTCTTCATGCTCAGGGGTCCACCTGCCATCTTAGGCCCTGAGGCCCTGTACTGTGGCAATCTTCTGCTGATTCTTGCTGAACTGAGTCTGTTCCACATTCCTTTCTCAACTGCCCATCTCCTGTTGTAGAAAGTCCCAGACTTCTGGTGAAGCCAGAATTAGAAAGGCAGTCAGTACAGACAGGTAGATGGAGTCAGGTCAGATCAAGGAGGCCAATTGTGAGTGAGTCCCAGAAGTTGGAGACAGTCCCCAGAGGGACTGAAATGTTAATTCCCTCAGAGCCCTTCCTCCACCCTCATCAAGAACCTGCCCCTGCTCCCACCTGTTGCCAAGGTAACCTGTCCCAGGCATTGCCCCTCTCTACAGGGAGCTCTAAGGTTGTTCACGTGTCCTGGGCTGCACGGCACATCCTGCCCTTCCCCCTTCAGCCCACGGGTTTCCCCCCTTTGGCCCTCCCACCGAACATTCCTGGGCCTAGTCGCTGGAGGGAGAAAGAGAAGGGGAAGAGGGCAGGAGAACCAAGGGAGCCTGGGACATATAAAAAGGGCAGAAAACCTCGCTTCTTCGGATACCAGCTATGGCCCCTTCTCCTTTGCAGGAGTCTATGTTACTCCTTTTTAAACAAACCCTGCTTTATAAGCTGGCCTCCCTGTGCTTCTCTTATGTTCAAACTTCAACAGGTGGGAAACCAGAATTCCTTACCCATAACCGGCAGTATCACTGGGACACACAACAGAGGTCCCTCTTCAGGTGGCAGACCACAGGGGGCTGCCACCCAGCTCATTCCACCTCTCCCTTCTCTCTGCTGGGGTATCTACCCACATGCTCCTTGCCTGGGAACTCCCATTGAATGTCCTTGTTCAGTTTCATGGTTTGCCCAGGCCAGGGGCTTGTGCCTGCTCTGCTGTCTGACTGAAGGCAGGCCCCAACACAGATGGGCTTCCACCAGAAGCCAAGGGGTTGAGAGGGCCACAGGAGAAGGGTCCTGCCACCGCTCACAGGTCTCTTGCCCTCCCAGTTCCTGGGCTCTTTGACTCTACAATATTGCCCAGTTCCCTTCCGTTCCTAAGCATCCCTTGTAAGTGTGTTCCTGCCCTCACTCCCAGCATCCTGTTTACTGAAGCCCATCCACCTGGATGCTCCACAGATTTGTTTACCCAACACTGGGGTCATTAAACTGGTCACCTGCCTTCATCAGCTTGAGCCCCATGTTCCCAATAACCACAGCTCCAGCCCACTCTGTGCCCATCTCCACGCCTGACCTGGCTGCTTCAGACCTAGGAAGCCATGCTGGCCCTGCCCTCCCTCCCGCGGAGAGGCCCAGGTGACCTGGCCATTTATGAGGAATACAGGGGCGGCTGGAGCTCAGTGGTAGCAGCCTGCTTCGCATGTCTGATGCCGGGTTTCGTCCCCAGTCCCCGGCACAAAAATAGTGTGTAAAAGAAATGGGCATGAGAGAGGAAGGACGGCGCAAGCCCGGCGGGGCCACACCCTGGGCTCTGACGGCCCGCGCCCACCGCTCAGAGCAGCTCCTCGGCGCTCCCACCCCGGGGCGCGCGGAAAGGAGGTGCCCTCCTCCCGCCGGTCTGTGGACCCTCCCCTCCCTGCGCTCGCCCACGGCCGTCGCCGCCAGCGGAAGGAGCGCGCCCCGCCCGCCCGCCGCGGGAGGAACCCTTCCGCGCAGAGGCGCCGGGCGCCGCCTGCAGGTCCGTTAACTGGGGGTTTGTAGCCTCCGACTGCGAACTTCCTCCCCTTCCAACGGCAGGACTGGGCCGTCGGGGCGGCTGCCGTCTGAGAATCCACCTCAAATCTTCCAGCATTCCCCTGGGTAGCTGTCTGCACTTGTAAGAGAAGAAAACGACTTTCTGTTATTTGATTTGGGGTCCTGGGGATTGAACCGGGATGCTCTACCACAGACACGATCCAGCTCTTTTTACTTTTGGAGACCTGGTCTCCACAAGTTGCTGAGGCTGGCCTTGAATTTGGGATCCTCTGCCTTGGCCTCCTGAGTTCTGAGATTACAGGTCTGACCCCAGCTTCTATTTATGTATTTATTTTGGTACCAGGGATTGACCCTATGGGCACTTAACCACTTGGCCGCATCCCCAGACCTTTTAAAATATTTAGAGATAGGGTCTCACAGAGTTTCTTAGGGCCTCACGAAGTTGCTGAGCCTGGCTTTGAACTCGTGATCCTCCTGCCTCAGCCTCCCGAGGCAAGCGGAGTGGCTGGGAGTACAGGTGTGTGCCCAGCTAAGCTTGTTTGCTTTTAGTGCTGGGAATTAACCCAGGACCTTAAGCTTGGAGGCAAGTATACTACTTCTGAGCTACAACCCAAACCTCCTATTTTTAATTTTAATTATTTATTTGAGATGGGGGTCTCACCATGTTGCCCAGGCTGGTCTCCAGCAGTCCTTCTGCCTAGAAGCAGTTTTTTTGAAAGAAGAAAGCCTGGAGGGTAAAAAAAAAAAAAAAAAAAGTATAATTTACATCAAGCAGTCTTAAGCTGGAGAGAGCTAGCTAGGCACCTTCCTCAACTCCCACCTCTACTGGCCTCCCTAGATCTCTTAGGACCTCAGAATGGTGGTGGCCACTCATCAGCTGGCTCTGCTTGTATGGGACTCCCTTTGTTGTCTTGGCCAACCACAGGGCAGAGGCCTCTGTGCTGAGACCCACCCCAGGACAGTCTCCATGTCAGCCAGTGGAAGAACAGGTCCAGCTGCCCTGATAAGTGTCTGGGGGAGGGGGGTGTGCGCAGGCAGGGGCAGCGGGTGTTTATCCTTAGATAACCCAGGGTAGTGGTGGGAGTGGTCAGCAAGTGAAACTGCAGAGTGTGGAGCAGGTCTGATGTCCCTGGCTAGCCCAGCTGATAGTTCTTTTCTGTTTACATGAGGCAAGGGTCACCTTGGCAGTCAGGAATCTGCCTTGTGGCCAATGGACCAGATGGTGGGCACCTTGGTCTGGCTGCCTTGTCATGAATCTGACAATCCTCCAGGTTGGCCCTGGTGGGTCTTCCATGACTAGTTCCATGAGCCTCTGCCCTCACCTCCTCACCCTCCAATAAAGGGTTCCCCTGCCCAGTCTTCTGCTGGCTCATACCTCTTGCTTGGAAACCATCCCTCCTTGAAGATCCAGGACAGCTGTCTCTTCTGCTGCCTTCCTGCCACCTTGGGTGAGGTGGTAGGGGTTTGCTTTTTTGTCCCTGCTTTTTCCTCTACTGACTTTGGGGCTTCTCTGGAAGCCTTGGTTTCCTCATCTGTAAAATGCGGGTAGGGATAGGGCGGTTGGCTAAGGTTTCATCTCTGTCTTAATGGGACTCCAAATTCTTTCACCTGAGGACAGATTGGCTGGGTAGAAGTGCCATAAGTTGACCTGAGCAAGAATAAGTTACTGGGAACTTCTACACATCCCAAGCCCCTTGTTCCTTCTCTGAAGTCAGAGTAGATATGCATGATGTGAGCATTTCACTGAACTGACTGTGTCCCAGTTAATATGATGTGGCAAATCGAAATACTACATCCACCCTTCAGGAGGCTAGGGACACGTAGCAAGAGCCAATCTAACACTTCCCAAGCTACTTTGCAGTGTAGTATTCTGAGCAGCACTAAATAGCAAGCAGCATGCTGCCTCTGAATCCAAATCCAATAGTTGTCAACAACTATTTCATTTAGAAATGAAATCAACCCAATCTCCATTTTAGTCAACATTCAACAGTACTGTTTAGGGCTGGGGGTAGCTCAGTAGTGGATATTCTATGCATACAAAAGAATATTGTGTTAGCTTCCCATTACTGGGACAAATTAGCAACTTGTAAAGAGAACAAATGGTTTATTTGGCTCACAGTTTCAGGGGTTTCTGTGTATGGTCGGTTGGGCCTGTGGCAAGGCAGCACTCCATGCAGCATTTCATGGTGAGGCAAACCTTTCACCTCATGGCTAGAAGTCAAAAGAGAAAAAGGGAAAGCTAGGGCCTTACTATACTCTTCCAGGGCATGTCCCCAATGACCAGCAGCCCTCCCACTAGGCCCCACCTCTCAAAATCTCTACCCCCTCCCAATAGCACTTAGCTAGGGACTAGCCTTTAAACATACAGGCCTCTGTGGACACTGAGGATCTCAATTGTAGTAAAGATGTCTGTATATAACTCATAAAGAATAATAATGTGTTGAGCTGGGGATGTGGCTCAAGCCATAGAGCGCTCACCTGGCATGCGTGCAGCCCGGGTTCGATCCTCAGCACCACATACAAACAAAAGATGTTGTGTCCGCTGAAAACTAAAAAACAAATATTAAAAAATTCTCTCTCTCTCTCACTAAAAAAAAAAAAAAAGAATTGTAAGAATAATAATCTGCTGGGTGTGGTAGTACACACCTGTAAACCAGCAGCTCTGGAGGCTGAGGGAGGAGGATCAAAAGTTCAAGGCCAGCCTCAGTAGCTCATCAAGACCCTATGTCAAAATACCAAATAAAAGGTCTAGAGTTATAGCATAGTGGTGTTAGACCAGGATGGAAGAAAAGACCACTGACTCCAATTAAAATCAAATTAAAGCAAGCTTATTATTTCAACCGGCAGGGCTGCCTCTCCCACCCAAAACCACGGGAACAAGACAGCACCCCAGCTTTCCTGCAGCCCAGCTTTGTAGCCCAGAAAGTTACACAAAGGGGGGTTACAGATAACAAAACTCTGAGGAGCATAACACAAATGGTAGTTTACATTTTTGCAGGCCCCAACATCAGAATTTATGAAGGTCATTAGAGCCTCAGAGAGGGTCGTTATCTGGCCAGGGAAGGCCAAGATTTGTGAGGCGTCACTAAAGTTTCAGAGAGAGCTGCTATCTGGTCAGAGAGCCAGGCATGGGTGAGTTCAAGGCATGGGCAGCCATTCCAAGCAGGTTCAGAATTTGCAGTAATTTATAGTAAAGCCGAAATTATCTTTTCATGGCTTTATGGTGAGATGGCTTCCAATTTTAAGAAAAGATCAGGTTGGGTCTATCAGTGGTAGAGCGCCCTTGGTCAACCCCCAGTATGGGTGGGGGAATGATAATTCTAGCATCTGCCTACTGCCTGGACTGCTCCCACATTTCCCCACTCATCTGCTACCACCACTTTCCTCCTAAGAGCTGGTCACTCCAATCCCTGCCCACCTTTTTCTCCTTTTCTTAGATCCCCTCCATGAGTGGGTGGTCAAGGTGTAGCCACAAGCCACCTTTCTGGAGGCTCAGGGAACGTACTGTCTTTCCACTGTGGCCCCCTTGACACCTTTCATAGGTGGGCTGTTGTCCCATGTTGTGGTGATTTGCCAAATGCACTCCAGGCAGGGATCCAGGACCCTCTTGGGCACTGTGTGGGCACTAGTGGGATGTCAGTGCAATAAACAAGCAGAGAATACACAAAAAGATAATGATACTGTCTCAATGTACTGTGACCTTCACCAAGGGTTGGTCGGAGGGATGGTCAACTTGAACTAGAAATGTTTAGATTAGCCAGGCACTGTGGTGCACATCTATAACCCCAGAAGCTCGGGAGGCTGAGGCAGGAGGATTGAGTTCAGAGCCAGCCTCAGCAATTTAGTGAGGCCCTGAGCAACTCAGTGAGACCCCTGTCTCTAAAAAAAAAAAAAAAGATTTGGGGATGTGGCTCAATGGTAAGTGCCCCTGGATTCAATCCCCAATACCAAACAAAAACAAAAAACAAAGAAATGTTTAGACTAGCAGTTTTAAGTCTTGTCCATTCACCATTAGTCAGCCTAAACAACATGAACACTTGCAGATCCACATAGAGCTCTGTCCCTTTGTTTGGCAACACAGTCACTGTCTGGGAGAGCAGTTTCCAGAGAAGAGTGCAGTGGTGGGTTCAGACACAGACGCTCGGGCCTCCTGTGGCCCAGTGAACAAGTGCTTGCTCGGCTGGGAACAGGGCCTTCTGGACTTCCAAGCCTAACACACAGGTAGGGAATAATCTGTAGGTGAAACCTGAGGAGAGCTAGTGGGTGATGGATTGCAGAAGCCCTGGCTATCAAATGCATCCCTATGGCTGTGGAATGGGGTAAAATATGGTCTGCTCTCCTGCTGCTTGGAAAGCCGACTTGGGAAACTGAACAAGGCTCTGAAAGGCAGACTGAGAAAAGGGGGCTGGATATATATTTAAAAATTTTAATTATTTAATTTTAATTTATTATTTATTTAGCATTAGGGATTGAACCCAGAGATGCTGTACCACTGAGTCACATCCACAGTCTTTTTTATTTTGTCAAAGGGTCTTGCTAAATTGCTGAGACTGGCCTTGAACTTGTGATCCTCCTGTCTCAGCTTCTCTAGTCACTAGGATTACAGGCGCCATCACGCCTGGCATGGAGCTGGATTTCTTTAAGGATGTTCTATGGCCTAACCCTCCAACCCAGTGGTATTTTTGCTGTCATCTGAGACTCTTGGATGGACCCACAACAAAAACTGGAACGGAGTCCTTATTTTTCCAGCCTCCATACAGACCTATTTTGATGATGCAGCCAACTGCAGCACAGCTGTATGGGGGGACTAAAGTTCTGGCTGGGCTCCAAAGACAGTGGCTCAGGGAAACTTGAAACAAGGGGGAAAGCCCCTTAGGGAGGTGTCTCACTGGGGCCACAGGAGGCCTCTTTGCAGGTATGAGCTGGTACTGGTGTTTGTTCTTCTCCAAGCACCAGGTGGGCTGGTCAACTGGATTTGGGACCAAGTTGTATGAAAAACAACTCACTGGATCATATGAGGGCACAGCTAGTGACAACTGCTCCTCTTGCCTGCCCGCCCAGGCACCTGGGTACATTCCTGCACTGAAGGGCTGTGTGCATGTGGAGACACCAGTAAGCCAAACATATCAATAGTGTCAGTGCCCTATAAGTCACCAACTTCTGCTGCTGGGTGAAGTGGTGAGCACCTGCAGTCGCAGCTACTCAGGAGGCTGAGGGAGGAGGATTGCTCAAGCTTGTGAATTTGAGACCAGTGTGAGCTGCACAGTGAGACTGTGTCTCAAAAACAAACTTCTAGTTATTTATGATTTTATCTTTTGTGGTGCTGGGAGTTAAACCCAGGGCCTAGTGCATTGCTAGGGAAGCACTCTATCACTGAGCCACGTCCCCAGCCCTTTACTTGTTATTTTGAGGTAGGGTCTTACAAATTGTGAGGCTGGATGGAATTTGCAACTCTTCTGCCTCAGCCTCTGAGTGGCTGGGATCATCGTGTCTGGCTCATACTTACTTCTATAGTCTGTATCACCCTGTATCAAAGGGCCCAGAACTGAAAAGCCTCCGCGCACACCCAGGCACTGCCCTGGCCTTGTCTCTCCTGTCAGTTACATGAGGACCACAGCATTTACCACCTGTGGGTCTTTGGGAGGTTAATTTAGGTGAAATATGGGAAATGCCTGGTACACAGTGCTCAAGCTGGTCTGAATTCTCTGTTGCATTAGGTGTGGTCTGTGATTCCTCCTAATTTCATCACAGCAGGGTTACAACCACCCTTTTAGGAGGGGCTGATGCTACTATATCTGGCTATAGTTTATTTATTTACTTATTATTTTTGGTTGTCTCAATTTCTGGAAGTTGGTGGAGGTGTAAGACGAAAATAAATAAATAAATATATATATATATATATATATATATATATTTTTTTTTTTTTTTTTTTTTTGGCAGTACTGGGAAATTCAACCCAGGGTCTGGCTGTGGGAGCCTATAATCCCTTTTTTATTCAGGCTAATGGTGGTGGGTTCCCAGTACTTGAATCAAAGGATTTCTGAATGGCACATCCCTGGAGATTTGTAGTTGGGGGCATGAATCTCAAAAGAAGACATAAATAGAGCTCAGTGTCTTAGGAACTGAAGAGATAGAACCTTGTTTCTAGTGAGACAGGACTTCTAGTTAAGGAGCATTAAATGCTCTTGCCATTCAGGAAAGACACTATTGAATCAGTCATTTCCAAAAGCCTCTCCCTTGACACTTCCCACCAGGAGATGGAAAGGGGAACACTGGCCTTCCTAGCCTTGAAAGCCAGCAGAGGGAGCCACCTGACTCAGTCTGGAAAATAAGACACAGCAGGACTGTTACTTGAGCGAATGGCAATGGCGGGGAGTGGTTTAATAACTTTTTTTTTTTTTTTTCAAGATAGGTTGTTAGGAAATTGACCAGGCTTACTTCAAATTGTCCATCTGCCTGCCTCAGCCTCCCAAGTAGCTGGGATTACAGGTGGGTGCTACTATATCTGGCTATAGTTTACTATTTTTCTTTCTAGGTTGCCTCAATAGTTGGTGGACGTATAAGATGAATGGGAAAAAAATAATCTTTTCTTTTCTTTTTTATTTTAGTACTGGGACATTCAACCCAGGGTCTTGTGCATACTACAAGTGCTATACCACTAAGCCAGCTCTACTAATAGATTTTTTTTTTTTTTTGGTACCAGGGATTGAACTCAGGGGCACTTAATCACTGAGTCACATTCCTAGTACTTATGTTTTATTTTATTTTTGGGTACTAAGGATTGAATTCAGGGTCACTGAGCCACATCCTCAGCCCTGTTTTTTTTGTGTTTTATTGTAGAGATAGGGCCTCACTGAGTTGCTTAGCGCCTGTTGCTGAGTCTGGCTTTGGACTTGCAAGCCTCCTGTCTCAGTCTCCTGAGTTGCTAGGATTATGGGCGTGCGCCACCACGTCTGGTCAATAATGGATTTTTATTATAAAAATGTCTAATTTTTTTCTTTATAAAAATAAGATTTCAAACATTCCAAAATAACTTATGAGGTAAAAATAATTTGAAAGAAGAGAGTAGGCATCGCTAATGCCTGATGTTCCCTCTCAAAGGCAAGACGTTTTGTTCAACCTGTATTCAGCAACACCAACCCAGTTTACAAGGTGCCGGGGACTTTGCTAGGTCTGGGGATTCAAAGATCCACAAGGCCCAGCTCTTGCTGTCTCAGTTTGGGAGCTCACTGTTGGGAAGACAGACCTAGGAATAGGTAACTCTGACTTAAGTGCAATGACAAAAATAGGCTCAAGGTGTTATGAGGGCACAGTGAGGCCCAGAGAGGGCTTCCTGATGGCAAATGACACCTGAGACAGTTGTGCAGTATACTGGGGGGCTCTGCAGAAGGGCATACTGGATGGAGGGGACTGCAAGTGCAAAGGTGTCAAGGTGAGAAGCTGGTGTGGCCAGAGGCAGCTGGGAGGCCAGGGGCAGTGTGGAAAGAGGCCTGCAGGGAGGCAGGGTACCATCTGAAGATCGCCAGTGGGCAGCCTGGTCTCCAGCCTGTAGGAGGGCAGTTCACTCTGAGATACGTGCTTTAGATGGATCTTGGGGGTGGGTAATTTTGGATTTGAAGGCCATAAGGGAGACACTTGTTGCAATGATCCAGGCAGAGGGGAGAGTTCTGTGATTGCTGGTGTCTGGCATTCTCTGTATATTGGGACATGGGCATTGGTAGA